TCCCTTTCAGTTAAGGTCTTTATCAACCACGTTGTTTAGCACCTGAAACAAAAACTTCTGCTTTCCTGAAAAAAGAAAACCAAAATCTGCAGATAACTTGTTGAAACCCTCACTATAGCTTAATCAAACTTATTAAAAAGCCAGTTAAAAATTATTTCCTTATCAATATTACGAAATCATTTTCTCAAACACGCGGTCAGTTTCACTTCCTAGCAACTTCAAATCCATTGATAAGGGAATATAATGGATAAGATCCGTGCCATCCACCTGGCCCTAATTGGCACTTCCACTTTATCATTTTCGCTACCAAACAAACAACAAAAAGTATCTCACTCATCCCACTTCTCAAGCTGTAGTATCAGGTGTAGTATCAGTTGCAACTAATTTTTCTATTTACCAAAAGATTCTGAGATGTTGAAACCAAAAAAAAAAACTTTTTCACTTAATGAACCTATTTCAACTTGTATTGTACTCCAAGATCCAAATCTTGCTAAGAGATATTCAAAAACTAAGGGTTTGTTTGGGATAGGTGTGGTTATATGAAATTTTAATTCGAAAATTGTTGTGGAAAATATGTTATTTAAAAGCGGCTATTGCAGAAGAAGTAATATTGTTTGAAAAATTCAGTATTGAAAGCATTGTGTTACAATCATCAGTGGATAAAGGTCAGAAATACCCTAAAGTATTAGAAAATAAGTAAGACAATGTGCAGCTCATGGAATATTACGTTGATTTAGTTAGCGGTAGCCTGTCATATCAACTGCCACACCAAGTCCATTTTGCCAAAACTCACAAATTACTTAAATAAAACACATTCCTTTAATAAGATCAATAAAAATCTGAACATATAGCATACCTTTAAAAAGAAAACTCTAGACAACATGTCATTAAAGCTATAAAATTATTCTAAAAAAATGCCAACTTTTAGAGAAGAAAGAGAACTATGGATGAAAAGGAGGTTTCAATAAATCCCAGAAATCCACTTTAAGAAAATTTCAAGCGAAATAAATCCTGAAACTCATAACAAATTGTAAAAAGACCAAGTAAAAGAGAATATAACAATGTTTATTTTAAACTATATTAATCCTGTGAAACTTGATTCTTATATAATTAGAAACTTATCTACATAAATATCTAAAATCAACAATATCATTACTTAATAAGCTTAAAAAGAATGCATGATGGCAATAATCTTTTATCAAAAGGTTGGTCGAATAATGCTTGATCGCCATTCAATTTCAAATTCCTAACTCCATACGTGATTGTTACCAGCTTTCAAGTAGGAGTGGAGCAGAAGGTAGGAATGTGAGAGTTTCAGAGGTTTGTACACAGTGAACATGTTGTTGCCTTCAAAACAAACTTGAGTCGCAACTGTTACCTGCTTTCAGGTAGGAGCATAATAGAAGGGGGTAGGAAGACAAAGGTTTTCATACACCGCAATCCAGTCGTTGCCATCCCAGCTAATTCCAATTATCAGGTTTCAACGATGGTTTCAGGTAGATGGCTAAGAATGGGTTAAGGTAGGAGATGACTGACGATGGTTTCAGGCAAGAGATGGGGAAGGGAATTTGCGAAGAGGTTGCACAAATGAGCCCCAAATAGGGGAAAAAACAAAACAAAATGTGGGATGCTGGTATGGCGCAGTCGCGATTTTAATAAAAACTGTGTCTGCATTGAACTACGATCCACCTGAATGTGCGATTCAAACGCGAGATTTTTTTATTAGGTTAAAAACTTATGTCAAAACGTTGAGATAAACACACCAAGTCCCAAATAGACAGCTTTAAATCTTTTAAGCAAAAAAACATAGCTTTGTAGTACCCATGCTCACTTCAACACTAGTCATAGCTTCAACTTATCTCCGCAGTCTCACCATCTTCATTTTCAAGATTTACAATTCAAGAATAATGCTCTCGCATATATATTTTTCCTGACTTGCATCCTTCTCCAGCTTCTAATACATTTTTCGCATCACCTCAAGTCAAATTATCATCTTCAAAAGCTAACTCAGCTAATGTGTTCGATATATTGCCATCCAACTCTTCAATCACAAATCATCTACACAATGCAACAACTTACTAATGAAGCTTATCTGAGAAGCATGCACTTGAATTTGAATCGCAGAGGATATTATTCAAAATTGAATTTTTTGCTCAAATCAAAGTCAAAATTTTCACCAACAAACCAACTCCAACTTTGAACGAACATAAATTGATTCAGGCCTACATTAAATTGAGCTAATCTTGAGATTAAATAGAAATGTAAATAAAGTATTTACGAATACATGCAAAATTATAATAAAAAACATGATGGCTTGTCATTTTTAAGTAAAACATGATGGCTTGTCATTTTTAAGTAAAACATGATGGCTTGTCATTTTTAAGTAAAACATGATGGCTTGTCATTTTTAAGTAAATTGTTGCCTACATCAAACTAAAAAACCAAAAAATGCATGTATCCCGAAAAATAACATGTTGGATTTTCATAGAAATAGAAATGTCTTCTTGGTTACAATAGTTAAAGTATTTATATGAAACTTTGGAATTTTCTCTTACATCAAGGAGATGTACTCTTGATACAATAACTATATTATTTATATGTTACTTGGGAATTTTCTCTTGCATAAACGGGATACACTCTTGGTATCTCTTCGATACATTTAAGGTTTAATACAGATGATAAAAGCAAGTCAAATGCTCGGATATATATCAAACTCTAATTCAAGAGATTGTAATTGAATTGGAAAAACGGGGTGAGTTCTAAGTGATTAGAAATTTGTTGTTTGATGATTGGGAAGCTAAAAACACATTCGGTTAACACTAAGCCAATTACCATAATTCCTATCTCCTAACCAACTCAAGGTTCACTCTCCATTAGAGCCAAGAACAGTAATCTTGGTTGAGATGAGTGTATAAGCAATACAATTAAAGCAATGATTCAAGCATGATGAGCCTTGATTGATGGTAATTATAGATTAGGCATTATTGTCTAGCCATGCAATAATGTAACCGGGTCGTTTAAGTAACGAATAACCATGGGTGGAGCTATAATGAGGCACTGGGAGGCCATGCCCCCACTGGCTCAGCCAACTAAATTTCTATTTTTTCCTTTGTAAAACCTTGAGCACAACTCACGGCAACAACTAGGTTGTTCATGTCGGTCTGAGGCAAAGTCACGTGAGGAAAGAGATGTTCTCCCTATTGTTTTATGTAAAAAAGCCCACCATAAGGTGTGACCGCTATTGTTGGCATGAGAAGACCTTTTTTTGCCTTTTTTTCTTCTTTATGTGCAAATAAAATGAGAACACCTAGCAAAAAAAGATAGTAAGGCCCCTTCCATCCTCATTTTTCTTTGTTTAATGCAAACAAAAGCCAAAAAAATCCTGTATCTAAATTTTGGGCTATCAAAACTATATTGAGAATCGCATACACTGCCCAAAATTTTGAAAGAGAACAAAAGCTCAAATTCAATTGGAATGAGGGATTTTTATAATATTGTATGATATTAACATATTCATACATGCATACATATATATCACTTGTTGGGAGAGATTCTCGATAAAGCTCTTTTTTGAAATATTTTGTAATCATATATTTAATTTTTATATTAAAACTCTAACCAAAAATAAAATTAAAACCGTCAATATAGATACCGATACCGAATGAAAAATGTTGAGCATATTATTAGAAACATCATTTTGTGCCCCGAATAAAAAAAATTACTGTTTACTGAGTTTGCATATGCACCTAACCCAAGCAATTGTGGTTTGTATTATAAACTAGGTCTTGAGTGATTGATTGTACATCTAACACCATCCTGACTAATTCAACATTACTAAGTAAATGTGATCTATTTATAGAGCATGGAAATAGCATAATATTCATATGTGCGGGAATCGATGACCCACAATATACATACATACACAAAATATTCAACATTACTCAGTACATATATATGTATGTATGTCTTGATAGAATTTGATGAGCTGGATTGGGTCAAATCAATATAAATAAAACCAAATACAAGCCTAACTTAACTCAATATCAAATTGAATGGCTTTGAGCTGATCTTGAGTTGGGGTCAACTGAACCAATATAAGATCCATTAGCATTACAATGAATTATCTCCTCACCCAATGGCAATGACTAAGAAATATTCCTAAAGGTTAATTTTACACCTTTGGATAAAAACTTTGAATAGGATAAATTATCTTGATTGATTAAAGTAGAACAAAAATATTGGGTTTGCTATAAGACAATATATTGATTTATTATGAGTATTTTTCCCCTAAGGTCATTTATATGTGAATTTCCCATAAAGTATTCTTCGAGAGAGAAAAATCAGTTTGCAAAACAAGGTAGATTCAAATGCAAATGAAATGGAATATACTACTACAAAGAAAATGGAAAGGCAGCAAATCAACACGGATCAGGCTTAATTATAGAGGAGTTTGGGTAGTGCAGCAACTCATAATTCCAACTATTACCCCTACATCTTTTTCTTTTTTTAACATTGAGCCACTAGTTTTTATTACCCCTATAATTGAATGGAGCCCAGAAAAGTTATAACTGGATAGGTCAATCATACATGAACAATAATTAAGAAAGAGCCATAAAATAGAAAATCAATGAAGTTCAGAAAACAATAATTCCAATAAAAAATTTGATGAATGACAACAATTTCTTGAAAGACATAAAAGACCGTTTTTTAAAACATTTGAATACAAGAAATTCAATAATATCATCGGATAAAGTATTTTACCATCAGATACATATATAAATAAAGCAATTTTGAGGGAAGAAAAACACAATTTAAGATTCCAACTATATTTAGAACCACAACTCATCATGGATTATCAGTTTTTAGATCAAATATACCAAAAGAACCGGTCTAGTAGAGCTTCAGATAAAAGAAGTGGTATATCAAAACTACTCTAGGAACATTTGAGGTATATAACGGAAGAGAAGAATCAACCAACTCCATAACAGCAAACCACTCACTCGGATATCCCTGGAGAGCGGATGCGAGCATAAGACGCCGGTGCACGTACGATCCGATATGACGAGAGATCCCACCCCATCAGTAACACTTTCCACAGTCCCGTTATGCGAAGTTGCAGTTGCAGCCGCAGCCTTGGATGAGGACGACGAGGACTTCCCTCCCCGCTTCGCAGCTGCGGCAGCCTTCTTTTGGGCAGCCTTCTTTTTGCTCGCTTCCGAAACCATCCTTCTTTCTGAAAAATAATAGTAAACTAGTCGGCCGAAAACCGGACAATCAAAACCCTATATGGCAGGACTGCGCAAGCGAAACAGATTTCAAGTAAGAAGAAGGGGATCACGGATCAAGTAGCGTGATTAGGGTTTTCAGGGCACGATCCTTACTTTGCTCTGTCCTCTCGAATTAAAATGAAAGCTGGTAAATAATGGTAATGGTCTTGAAAACCTCCTCTCTACAGCTGAAAGGGAAGATTCACGCACCGGAGGATGGCACCCTAATCAAGGGTTAAAGAGAAGTAATGCAGAGTCCAAGTTCTTCAATTTATAGGCGGCTTACTTCGTAAAATATTTTAAATAATAAATAAACTGTATAGATTTCAAACCAAATAATCTTTAGCAGGAGTTTAATCGAATCGAGGGAGCTTGAATGATTCAAGTGCGAACTCATTTAGTTCTTTTATTTTTATCTTCTTTGATGTTCAGCTGGTATTCAAAATTATTCGTGAAAAACTTGAGATTTAGGGTCAGTTAGGGGCAGATTATAAGTGTGGCGATGTTTTCGAAGCTACGAAGACCCTAAGTCAGGATACCATGGATCTATCATCTCAAGCTACGAAGACCCTAAGTCTACCTGGTTGTGAAAGTAGTCGACCTAACCCGACATGAAACTCCTTGTCAGCAATCTTTGAATTATGTTGTCCCAGGAAACCTCGATAACCCTAAAGTCAAAATAAAGAGGACTCTAAAGTTCTATGGCCATCTATAGGTAAAATGTATAGAGGTGAGACTTATACATGCCAAATAAATGATAAGGAAGCCATTGGTTTATAAAAGAAAAGATGGGTCTAGCTACAAAGCCAAAAGTGTCCCACAAAGGACATATTCCCCATATGGGTCGGGGAAGCCTTTAACACCCTTTGCTAGATAATCATCTAAGCAAAAATCTATGATTGGTCAGTTGGGTTGCAGAAGCACAGGGGTTTCTTCTCGGGACATGCAGAATGAGCATTTATCTACATAAGTCATAATGTGGAGGCCCTACTAGGGATGGCTTGGGTTATAGACATGCATGCAACTCATTTTAAAACTGACCCGAAGGTTATGCAAAAAAATAAAGGTAAGAAATAAAATGTTGATTTAAAGTGATGATATTTTAATCCTAAATTTTTTATTTTATCTTAATTAATTATTGGGATTTTTATCAAAGATATCATTTTAAGTCCTTAAAGAGTTTAAATTACATATTCATGAGATTCTTAGATAACCCACAATCAAATATAGAGAAAATTTAGCACACTGCATAAAGTAAACTAACCCAAAATGAAAAAAATGATAAACACAGGCTGGTGTCGCTGGATTGAAAACATGTCCTAAAAAAGCAAAAAGGTGACCAGGCTCCGCATATACATGCATGGTCATCATGTTATACATCAAATAGAATTTCAGACTTAATGTACGAGAAATGAGCAAGTTGCTCATGTTCCTCGCACGTGATTTGATGCGTCAAATGCCTCGAAACTCACGCACATACCTTATTTCTAATACAGACTCCCTAAGGACTCTAAAAATACATATAAAAGTCCAAAAAAAAACTTGAACTGCATGAAAATTAATTTAGCATAAAGGTTATTTACCTGCAACGTAATGAACCATATCTGATGGGAGGACAGCTTAGCAACACCTACATAAAAGGTGTTAGTATAAATCATTACTTTTCCTCCCTTTTAGACATGACTCCTTGCAAGCAGACTGACTTAATATAGTAGTGTGTAAGTCCATACCCAGTAAACACGCAAAACATCACACACAATTTCTAGCTAGGGCGCAAACTAAGGAACAATAGTCAGAACATGAAAAATTGTAACTACACTATAGTCATACTCTAGCCAACATATAAATGCAATGTGTCTTAACATATCATTTAATTGTGTGCAGAAAGTGTGTGGCTAAGGCTAGGCTATGTTCTTGACGAGGTCGTTATCCCGAGCCACATCATAAGGATCCAAAACTTCTAATGAGTGTCACTAAATGCATGTTTTATGCAAGTAAAGAAAGCCCTTAAAAAAAAAAGGTCGGCCTTATATATGGCCTAAATGATAAATGTAATAGTTTTAAAATAAGTTAAAAAAATGATGCATCTATACTAAAAATAGATTGTTTTATAATATTTGGAAATAAGTCTTAATAAAAGAAAGGCATATGTGGCACCCGTTATACCTCTTGGAACCTTAGCACGAACATGCGTGTGCTGACTGCGATGCAATAACTCACATTACTTATTGAGATATCCTCGCAAGTAATGTTGTTAGAACATCGCAATCAACAACAGCTCACTCAACTAATGAGGTCAATTCACTGTCAAATCAATCAAATGCACACACAACTTGCAAGATGACTTGGCATATCAAAACCGCTCCAACAAAATTTGGATGGTCACAGAAGATATGCCAAGGAGTTGGACACAACAAGGTCACTTTGCTGAGGTGTGAGTGTTCACAGAAACACATCACATACCAGACAATAATATAAATTATCGATAAAAGAGGCAAACATCCATCATGGGCGTATAGTGACATATATGCTCACAATAGATGTGTCAAATACACTGATGCAAACATGCAAAGATGTCACACTTCACATGATGCAGACAAACCAGGAATTACATCTCACCCAGGAACTAATCTAGATGCCATGCAAATGAAAAACAACAACTATGAATGAGATTGCATCAGATACAAGTCACCTCTAAGAGGAATCACACCTTACTCGAGAGGCAGTCAAACAAACTCTAGTAAATGACAAACCAATCAATGTATGAAATACCCACCCCGACTCGATTGAGATGATGAAGAATGGTAGGTCAAATCGATTGAGCCAATGACTGTTGATTTGTCAAGTTGGCAGAAAAGGTCCATTGAGCCAGAGGAAAAGTTTGATCGAAATGGTGGTTGATTGGTCAAATAAACTAAAGATGTTCGATCGAGTCGGCATGGGCGACCGATTTATGAAGAATGGTCTGTCAATACAATCGCGTCGGTGGCGGCGGATTAGTCGAAGCAACTGATGTGCTTATTCGAGCTGACATGGACATCCAGTCAAAGAAGAATGATTGGTGAAGGTGATCGAGCTCGTGGTTGTCGATCAATCTAGCCGATGAAAAAAAGGTCGATCAAGTGGATCGGGCTGGTGGCGTCCAATGAGTCAAAGCAACAGAGGTGGTTAATTGAGTCTACGTTGGGGGTCGACCAAAGAAGAATGGTCGGGGGAGTCAGTCAAGACGATGAAGGCAGATTGATTGAACCGACAGAAAAAAGATTGATCTAGAAGATCGAGCGGCTGTCGATAGGCCAAAGCAACGGAGTTGGTCGCTCAGCCTGACATTGGTGGTTGATAGAGGAAGAATGGTCGATCAACCCGGAATGGGTGGCTGATTGAAAAAGAATGGTCGGTCGAGCCGATCAAGCATGTGATTGCTAATCAGTTGAGTCAACGAAAGATAATTGGTCGTGTCAATGTAGGGAGTTGTTCATTAAAACGTGAAAAATGAGTGTTTTTTATGGAATTTTAATATCATGCCAAACATGCCATATGAATGTGTATACAAGCATAAGACAAAAATCTGATCATGCTCGATGACGAATTAGACTCATCCTAGAGGCCTCACATGATCCTAAGGTAAGCGATGGAGAGGTGTACCAATGTCTTATTACGCAAAGCAACGAGACACTCACCTCCATTTACACGACATTAGACGAGGAATCTCTCACAAGGAAGATTCTCCATATCTGAAAGGAAAAAGATCAAAGGAATGCCTTCATCTTCTAGGTTAATGGGTTTCAAAGACCCATCTAGATGAAACCACCATGACAAATAGTGGGATTAGTACAATCCCATATTTCAAAATTTAGACTAAAATTGGGTAGGTTTTGCTCTTTGGATTAGTAGGGGGAATGTAAAGCAATTAATCAAATGGGGTTTTTCTCTAACACAAGAATTCTAACCAAATTTCTCTAACATAGGGAGCTCCAGAAATGAAAAATAGGGGTTTTGAAAATTCCTTACCTACGTGGTGGTTGCTCGAAGCATTCTCTTTCGTTGTCCACGCTTCAACATTGCAAGGAAGTAGCTTTCCTGCCTCCTTAGGAGAGATGGTGCTCTCCTACTTTTGTAGTGCACTTCTTCAAGGAAGCACCCTCAAACACTCAAATAATAGTGGAGGAAGAATAAGAAAATGAGAGAGAAGAGGTTTCGATGGAAGGAAAGAGGTTTGAGAGAACTCTCCAACTCAAGAGAGAAGAACCTCTAAGAAATCTTCTCCAAGGAAGAAGTCTAGCTTAACTCCAAGGAAGAAGAAGAAGGAGAATGCTGCAGCAGTCTTTTCAAAAGCCAGGAACCAAGAGCCTTAGGAGAAGCCAAAGGGGAAGAAGTAACCAAACTCAGCTTTTACCCCCTACTTTGCCAAGAAAAAGACCTCCTTTTTACTCCCTAGAACCTTCTAAAAGGATCCAAAAGAGGTTCTATTCATCAGCTTTATCTCCCCTCTAGGCATATCATGTGAACATTTTGAGAAAACGTGGAGCAGAAAAATGGTCTAGCGCGTAGGCGCTAGGACTAGTGCTTAGGCATTGTCTCCCGAGCACCTACTTTTTGCGCTCCTCAATTTGAGACACTGTTTGGAACTGATTTCGGGCACCTAGGCGCTAGGGGTCTAGTGCCTAGGAGTCGCACCTCGGGCACCTACTTTTTGGCTTCTCGGGTTGTAGACTGCATATCGAAGCAGATTCAAGCGCCAACTTTCTAGGCTCTTGATTTTAAGCCATTTGGGGCTATTTTGGGTGCTTAGACGCCCAGACTGGAGCTTAGGTACCCAGATTGGCGCTTAGGATCCGGAGGCCTGACGTCTATGCGTTGGTCTAGCCCGAAATTCTTGATTTTCCTGAAATCGCCCCGCATAGGATTTTGGCGATCCATAAACTATGGGAGATTATATATGACCATAATATAGTCTCATATCCTAAAAAATAAGTATTTTTAAGGGCAATACATCAAGGATGTTAATGCCAATAGGTGCTCTGAATTACGGCACGGGCGCGACACCTTAAACTTCGATCTTCTTAGAAACATCTACATAAAAGTTTTAGGGAGTTCTCATGCTACGTTGGGTTACATATGCACATTATATACTCCCATTGTTTTCTAAAGGGCATTCAAACCTTTATGACATCAAAAATTGACACCCAAAACTACATTACTTGAGAAAAGTACTCATGTTTTCCAATCTAACTGCCCTAGCATTTGTTTATAC